GATCGCGTAGCTGCAGAAACAACCAAAATATTTAGAACCCCTGGTCTACACGATAACGGCCACTAAGGCGCGTAACCGTCAAGCTTCTAGTTTCGCTGGCCGCACTATAGCCTATATTATTATGTACTGAAATACAATAGATATTAGATATACGGGCGGCGCGCAGCGTTGTCAATAAAATCTATATTTAGACATTTCGTTGAAAATTCTCATTTATAAATTTATCTAGATAATCTCAACACTGGTAAGGAACTTACAATCTGCAAATGTGATGGTGTCGAATATATTTTTCTTTTTAGGTTCCCGAATTCGTCCTCGTCTTGAAAGCCCGAATATTTCCATCGTCCGGCTTGAAATGCATGTCTTTGCTAAACACAGTAAAAACATCTAGTTATACAGAARCCAATTACGAAATACCTAATAATAATATAAATAATAATGAAATATATATATCAGCTATAAGTCTACGTAATAACCGAAAACCGCTCACAATTTAATTTTTTGCTTAATTTAGCCAACATTTCTAATTTTTTATTAAAAAAACCGAACACCACGGTTTTAACGAGCTGTTCCTAAAGGAAGTATACCTTCTTTGTGTAAATATATCATAAGTGGCAGGCTTGTAAACCAATTATCAAAGAATAATTTGTAATTTTTATGACGTGGAATAGTTTGAGCCATTTTTACAACCATATTGCTGCTAGTAGAGAGGGGAGCGCAGTTGTCAGGCATTTTATTTGTTTGTTCTCCTGCAAATATTTCGAAGTCGTAGCTAAAACCTGAAACACCACTTAAAACAAATACTTTATAACCCCATTTATGAGGATTTTAGGGTTGTATTGTTTTAATGACGTTTTAGATTTTGTTGGAATGATCTGCTCATCTACTGCCAAATATTCTTCTTATGGAACAGTTACTAAAATATTTCTAATTTGTTCAAGTAGAGGTCTTACTTTAAAAAGTTTGTCATTAGGGTCTGATGTAATTTTGGTGTTATCATTGAAATGTATAAATCTTTTAATTTCTTCGAATCTGTTAACTGTCTTCATATTTTATATACTTGAAGTACCAAGAGACCCACAATGATGTCTTATTGATGGCAAATTTAAAATTGACATTTTCATCAATATAACAATGAATTGTTCAATTTCTTTTTCTGTTATATTTGGTAATTTAATAGGTTTGACTTGAGTGGCATATAAATTTGATTGTATTGTAATGTGACTTACTTATAATAGATTTTGGAAATAGAAA